AACACACGGAAAAAAGGCGGTCAAATGTGAAAAATCTTCGGTGAAAGTGACCTCTGTCTCCTGCCGTCTGGCTGAGGCCCTCCTGGAGCCGCCTGTGTCTCCTTGCTGTTTCTGCCAAGCACTAAATCTTTGCCATCTCCTTCAAGTTCTCTGATGATCTTTGGAAGTTTTGCTCCAATGGTTGTATTTTCTAACAGCTTCAGCCAACAGCTCCTCAGATGAAGCTAAGCAACGTTTTCATGAAAAAAAAGGCCACGAAATTCCAACTAATTACGCAATATTTGGCGGGAAAAAAGTTCTGCTCAGAGGTCGTACAYGGAACGCCTTCTTGACGGGAAAACAAAACGATTCTGTCACAAAACCACAAAAAAAGACAAGTCATGTCTCACAAATTGCACTTGTGTAGTTTTAATGTGTAAATATTTTGTTTACTGTGAAGAATCAGGAGGTAAATCAAGATGTTTATTTTGTATCAAAACTTTATTTATCAAACAAAAAGAATGAACCATTGAAATAACATTTCTATAAAAAAGGACCATGGGACTGTTCTATAGTGCTTTTACAAAACCAGTAATGGTAAACAACAGAATGGATAAAAACATCATCATCATCATCATCATCATCATCATCATCATCATCTTTCCCTCCTTCACTCAAACATAATGTTCTTAAATACTGCAGACTCGTAGTTCATGTTGGTAATAATGACTCCAGCTTTTCATTTAAGGATGAAGTGGATTTTCCTCCAAATCCTCTGCTGAACAATAATTCTGGAAATGAAGAAACCGTCTGTGTGAGCGGAGATAAGGGTCGTTTTAATTTGGCTCCTTCCGCCCTGATGAGATGAGGTGCAAAGCTTTCTTTCTTTCTTCGGCTATTATTTTATTTTTTTACAGGCTGTCGGCCTCAAACAGGAGCTGACAGAGTCGATTTCATGTGACATCGGGTCCACATTCACCTCCTCTTCTTCACTCAGAGACTCTTTATTATCCATTTACTCAGACGAGTGGATAAACCAGAAGAAGATAAAATAATGGATTTAACTCTGAATCTTTGAAGTGTCCAAATCAGATGTTAGTTTGGTGCCTCTCGCACAAACAACAGGCAGAATTCTGAGTTTTGGGTCATTTTTTTCTTTACAAATTTGTCAGATTTTCTGTTGGATAAAACAGATTTTCTGTCATCTGTGAAGAGATTWAATTTCTTGTGATCTAAAGGGAGTTGGTAATGTCTGAAAGCAAGCAGCATTCTTTGAAGGAATGYCTATGGCCCACTGCTTTGGACATTAAATCTGTTAGCCAATCTGTTACAGCTCAGAGTCTGTGTTAGAGAAGACTYCCAGCTAAGTTCAGCTGAATATCTGAAAAACTGACTGAGTTACAGCTGGTTTTGTCATCATAAAAAAACTATTAGGCTCCGCCCCTTTTTGGGACCAAAATTTGGATTTTTTTGAGTGACAGATAAACCTGCTGACTTTTATGTTACATAACTGAACCATTTTAAAGAACTCATACAACCTAAGTCTGTTGGAGACGACTCTCAGCTACTACAACAAAATTCACCTTGATAAAAGATGTTTTTGTGTTTTATTTTATTAAATTCAAAATTTTATCAAGTTTACCCTAAACATATCAAAACACCCAAAGTAACTGTTCTGAGTTTTGAGAAATGAAATAAAATTTGGGCAAAATTCAAGTTTGTTATTGAATCATAATGAAACTCATTTARGCTCCACCCCTTTTTGGGACCCAATTTAGAATTTTGGAGTGATGAACGAACCTACATTCTGCAAAATTCAGTCATGTTAAAGAATCCATACAACCCGTGAGAGCTCCATGTGGGAGAYGACTCTCAGCAACTACCACGCTGAAGTTTATCTAAGTATCTGTTCCATGTTACGTCCTAAATACAAAAAAAAAAAAAATACTCAATGTAACTGTTCTGCATTTTGAGAAATACAATAAAAGTTAGGCAAAATTAGATCATTATAATTGAACTCAATTTGGCTCCGCCTCTTTTTGGCCCCAAAAAGCAGATTTTCATCCCATTTAGAGACAAATACACCTAAAGTCTGTCAGCTTTACCTGCTGTGGTCATAAAGTTCTGCATAGATGTGATCAAACCTTCAATTTATACTGTATGACAAAACGAACAAATTACTTCAAAAAGTGAATCACTTTGTGGTAAACAATTCAAAATAATTTACAACAGCAATAAAAAAACATTAAGGCAAACAAAATAACAGCACTTCAGTCCCTTTTTCACTTTGTCCTTTACTAAACTAAATTTACATATGCAGAAATATCACATGGTTATAAATAATAGATTTCAAGAGCACTGGAAATAAAGCAATAATATATTAAATTTGATTATAAAAAAATCACTTCTACTCTAGTGGAACTGTAC